AAGGTATATTGCAACCACGGCTCCCATATTTTCAAGAATTTACATTGCGAGTCGTTGCAGATACTCGACTTCTGTTCATTGAGCATCATAGCGGTTATACGGTCCCGCACCCCCTGAAGAAAGACAAACGGGCTCTTCCAGGCCTGAGCAATTGTTCTAGAGGCCGACAAAAACAAATAGGAGGCCAACTTCTGCTGGTGAGCCAAGAGGCCTGGTATGGGGCAATGTAGCAAAGCATACCGAGCATCCCGTCGTATAGAAAGATGGAACAAGGTGAAAAGGAGGCCAAACACACGAGACCAAAAACAGGGTTCGCCTGTGCCAAACGAGCCGATACCCAATACCAATGAAATAACACCTTGTAGGCCGCCTCCAGCGTGGTCATATTAAAAGAGAGCATTTAGCTACAAGCGACCAGGCCCTATTCCAGTCCTTCAGATCCACAATCACTCCTAAGTCATGCTCCCACTGAACAACATATGAAAGAAGTATGCGACGAGCGTCTATTCAAGGCTGCATAAAAAAGGGAGATAAGGCCCGGGGCACCCGGACGCTGTTGGCAAAGCAGTTCAAAGGTAGATTTCTGGTACGGGAAAACAGAAGTGCCCCGCGATGAGAGCAGCCAATGCCGCAATTGAAGGTAAGGAAAAAAATTCCCCCGAAGGGACATCCCGTGACTCCCGAAGAGAATTCTAGGTAGGAAAGCACCGAGAGGTCAAAAAGTGTCGTACTTGTGAAAAACCGTCGGCTACCCACCAAGAAAACGCCCTTGGTTGATCTAAACCCGGTGGAAAGAGGGGGTTGTTAGTAGTCAGGAGCAAAGGCAAGAAAGGTGACATTAGGCCACTGGAATAACGTACCGAGTCCCACACTTGTAAGCCATTGAGCAAGTACGAACTCAGTGCCGTGGGGCGCAGGGCAGGAGGAAGCCATAGAAGCGTCGAAATCGCAATAGGGGCACAATTAGGTCATTCCAGTAGGACCCAGAGAGGTATGTCTGAGGAAGCATGCAACATAGATAGTGGGGCGATCTGGCTCGCCTGATAATATTTAGTTACATTGGGAACCCCAAGGCCACCCTGGAGTCTATGGACAAAAAGCGTAGCTCTGGAAACTCTGGGGCGTTTATCGGCCCAGATAAAACGCATAATCTTCGCCTGAAGCAACCAAAGGAAGTAAGGAGGAACCCACACTGGGAGGGTGTGAAAATAGTATAACAATTTTGGCAAGATGGTCATTTTCACTGAATTGATCCGTCCTATCCATGACAGGTGCGGAAATTTGCCAAGAATGCATAAGAGAGGACACAGAGCGAAGCAATGGATAGTAATTTGCAGCAAACAGTGAGTCATAGGTGGAGGTCAAGCAAATGCCTAGGTATTCAAGAGAAGAAGAGGCCCATTTATAAGGGAAGTGGGACTGTAGGCGCGAAACCAGATCTGAGGCCAAAGTAATATTAAGCGTGGCAGTCTTATTCAAATTGATACAGAGACCCAAAATCAAAGAGAAGCGCTCAAGAACCTGTTGCAAATTTGGAAGCGTCGTCAGGGGATTAGTGAAAGTCAAGAGTGCATCGTCTGCAAAAAGGTTCAACTTGAACTCCTGTCCCGCGTATGGAACCCCCGATACATTACAATCAGTCCGGAGTGCCATAGCCAACGACTCAAGTGCCAGGACAAAGAGCGCCGGGGAAAGGGGGCATCCCAGTCTCGATCCTCGCCAAATAGGAAAGGGATCTGAGAAATACCCAGCGTATTTAATGGAAGGTGAAGGGGAAGAATACAAGGCTTGAATCCAAGAAAGAATAGAGTCCCCAAAACCCGAGAGACAGCACAAACCACAGATATTCCCAGGGTAGAGAATCAAAGGCTTTATATATGTCTAAGGACAGTAAGAATCCCGGTATTTTCCGCTGTTGTAGAAAATGTATAAGATGGACCACCTTACGAACATTATCACCCGCCTGTCTCCCAGGGACGAAACCCACTTGGTCTCTGTGGATCAGGCTACGCAAGTATTTATTGATACGAAAGCTAAGAATCTTGCCCAAGATCTTCAGGTCTTCATTAGAAGAGAAATGGGCCGAAAGGCTTGCGGTTCCTGCACATCATCGGTTGTCTTAGGAATTATGGAAATATGAGTTCTCAGCGCGGAGTGGGATCCCTTTTGACTCGGTGGGCCAGAGTGGGATCCCTTTTGACTCGGTGGGCCAGAGTGGGATCCCTTTTGACTCGGTGGGCCAGAGTGGGATCCCTTTTGACTCGGTGGGCCAGAGTGGGATCCCTTTTGACTCGGTGGGCCAGAGTGGGATCCCTTTTACTCGGTGGGCCAGAGTGGGATCCCCTTTGACTCGGTGGGCCAGAGTGGGATCCCTTTGACTCGGTGGGCCAGAGTGGGATCCCTTTGACTCGGTGGGCCAGAGTGGGATCCCTTTGACTCGGTGGGCCAGAGTGGGATCCCTTTGACTCGGTGGGCCAGAGTGGGATCCCTTTGACTCGGTGGGCCAGAGTGGGATCCCTTTGACTCGGTGGGCCAGAGTGGGATCCCTTTGACTCGGTGGGCCAGAGTGGGATCCCTTTGACTCGGTGGGCCAGAGTGGGATCCCTTTGACTCGGTGGGCCAGAGTGGGATCCCTTTTGAGGCAGTTGGCCAGAGTGGGATCCCTTTTGAGGCAGTTGGCCAGAGTGGGATCCCTTTTGAGGCAGTTGGCCAGAGTGGGATCCCTTTTGAGGCAGTTGGCCAGAGTGGGATCCTTTTGAGGCAGTTGGCCAGAGTGGGATCACTTTTGAGGCAGTTGGCCAGAGTGGGATCACTTTTGATGGAGTTGGCCAGAGTGGGATCACTTTTGATGGAGTTGGCCAGAGTGGGATCACTTTTGATGGAGTTGGCCAGAGTGGGATCACTTTTGATGGAGTTGGCCAGAGTGGGATCACTTTTGATGGAGTTGGCCAGAGTGGGATCACTTTTGATGGAGTTGGCCAGAGAGGGATCGCTTTGACGCAGTGGGCCAGAGAGGGATCGCTTTGACGCAGTGGGCCAGAGAGGGATCGCTTTGACGCAGTGGGCCAGAGAGGGATCGCTTTGACGCAGTGGGCCAGAGAGGGATCGCTTTGACGCAGTGGGCCAGAGAGGGATCGCTTTGACGCAGTGGGCCAGAGAGGGATCGCTTTGACGCAGTGGGCCAGAGAGGGATCGCTTTGACGCAGTGGGCCAGAGAGGGATCGCTTTGACGCAGTGGGCCAGAGAGGGATCACTTTGACGCAGTGGGCCAGAGAGGGATCGTTTTGACACAGTAGACCAGTTTGAACATGTATTGCAATATACTGTATATGAAGCAAATATGAAGAGTGGAAAGCAGTGTTCAGAGTGTTAATTCAAAATTTTCAGCAATAACATGGGATCACACCCCATTAAGCATTAGTTGTTATGTATTTGTAAGCTGTGTGGATTTGAATAAAAAAAAAAAACAAACCTCTGATCCAAATGGTCACATAGGGGTCATTTCACTAAGAGTTAAATAACGACTGAAAAAATGCTGTAAAATAACTTATGCGGTAAATTTTTTGCAAATGTGCAATTCACTAAGAATTTTGCGGTAAAGAACTCATGTGGTAAAATATCGTTATTGCGGTAATTACCACATATTGTCATGTGGTAATTTATTGCACAGTAGCTGGTTGTTAAGGAAGCAGCCGCAGCGTCCTTAACAACAGATGACTCATCAGCTTTCAGCGGGTGTCTCACTGACAGCTGAATGTAAACAAAACATGCCAGCAATTACAAATGATGGTTTGCTCCCCATCCTTACCAGGCCCTTTGGTCTGGTATGGAGTGTAAGGAAAACCTCACACCAAAAGTAAAGAAAAAAAAACAGCCTTAGGTCTGGTATGGATTTTGGGAGAACCCCACACCAAAAAAAAATTGGCGTGTGGGTCCCCTCACAATCGATTTTGGGTCTGGTATGGATCTGGGGGGGACCCCTATGCCTTTTTTTTTTTTTAATTAAATGTTGGCATGTGGTTCCCCTTAATATATATACCAGACCCCTAGGGGTTGGGGGGACCCCCTCGCTGCATCTGTAAAAATACCGCAAGTGATGCTGCCAGCTAAACTCTGGTGATAAATACCACATCTTTTTTTACTTTTTGTTCTGTTTGTGAATTGGACGTAACAGCTTACCGCATGGTTTTTTGTGGTATTTACTGACACATTTTTAATTTTGCGTTAAATACCACAGAATCCTTTTTTTTTTTTTTTTTCGTGAATTGGACATTTTGTTACCGCATGCGATCATTTGTACAAATGAGCAAGGAAAAAATGTCACCAGCACACCGAGGATCACCAATATGGGTCCAAAGGTTTTAATAAACCATCACATAGTTACAGCAAGGCAACGTTTCGGAGTCTCGCAGGACCCCTTCATCAGGCATGTGACATATGCCTGATGAAGGGGTCCTGCGAGACTCCGAAACGTTGCCTTGCTGTAACTATGTGATGGTTTATTAAAACCTTTGGACCCATATTGGTGATCCTCGGTGTGCTGGTGACATTTTTTCCTTGCTGATTTTGTTCGGTTCCAGCCGACGGTCACTGCAGCACCCACTCATACACACAGCCATTTTTTAACGCAGGAACGTGTGCGTTTGGATCATATACTTGCATTTGTACAAATGAGTCGCGTGACCGTGTTATCGCATGCGGTAACCTTTAGTGAATTGATCCCATAGTCCGTTAAAATTGGTTGCAGTCAAAGTATGAGCTGCAATGATGGAAGCTGATAAACAGACATGATTAGGACTTGACTTGGTGGGTGACACTGAAATACTGTGTGTAATTGGATAACTAATTACCAATTGGATAAAGCTGTCAAAATTGGTAATTTTTGACTTATGACTGTAAAGGCTAAATTAAAGGCTGAAATGTTGGAGACACAGAATTAATTGATTGGTTTCCTCTGAATAAAGCCGTGTGTGTGTAATCTGGTCCATGTTACTCCTCAGGTGGAGTGAGGTCACCCGGAAGGTGGAATTATGGGTACAGATATTGGAATTAAATGAGAATGGAGAATACTGTCCTGTAGAGGTTGTCCCTGCTAAAGACGTTCAGACGGGAGGCATCTATCAGCTGAGACAGGTAAGATTGGAATGATCTGTACTGATGTATTTGTTGCCATCAGAGGAGGACAGAGATGCAGACAATGGAATATATGCATCATCATTGTCTAAAATACTGCAGTTTCTCCAAGCTGGGTCTCTTTGTTCTCACTATATTGGTGGTCAGTGAAGAAGTGACCCCTTAAATTGGTGGTAAGTGTTGAAGCAATCTGTTGCACCGGTGGTCAGTGTAGAAGTGACCCCTTATATTGGTGGTAAGTGTTGAAGCAATCTCTTGCATCAGTGGTCAGTGTAGAAATGACCCCTTATATGAAGCAATCTCTTGAATCGGTGGTCAGTGTAGAAGTGACCCCTTATATTGGTGGTGTGTTGCAATCTCTTGCATCGGTGTCAGTGTAGAAATGATCCCTTATATTGGTGGTGTTTTGAAGCAATCTCTTGCATCGGTGGTCAGTGTAGAAATGACCCCTTATATTGGTGGTGTGTTCAATCTCTTGCATCGGTGGTCAGTGTGAAATGACCCCTTATATTGGTGGTAAGTGTTGAAGCAATCTCCTACATTGGTGGTCAGTGTAGAAGTGACCCCTTATATTGGTGGTAAGTGCTGAAGCAATCTCTTGCATCGGGTGGTCAGTGTACAAGTGACCCCTTATATTGGTGGTAAGTGCTGAAGCAATCTCCTACATTGGTGGTCAGTGTAGAAGTGACCCCTTATATTGGTGGTAAGTGCTGAAGCAATCTCTTGCATCGGTGGTCAGTATAGAAATGACCCCTTATATTGGTGGTAAGTGCTGAAGCAATCTCTTGCATCGGTGGTCAGTGTAGAAGTGACCCCTTATATTGGTGGTAAGTGCTGAAGCAATCTCTTGCATCGGTGGTCAGTGTACAAGTGACCCCTGGTAAGTGCTGAAGCAATCTCCTACTCAGTGTAGAAGTGACCCCTTATATTGGTGGGTAAGTGCTGAAGCAATCTCCTACATTGGTGGTCAGTGTAGAAGTGACCCCTTATATTGTTGGTAAGTGTTGAAGCAATCTCCTACATTGGTGGTCAGTGAAGAAGTGATCTCTTACGTTGATCTGCTGCCTACACTCTGACCACCAATCTGCCACTGTCCTCTACTCATGGACCCCCCCAGCAACCTCCGTACAAAACCTTGGCTGAGAAAAGCAGCTTTAGACTGTCAAGGAAATCCTGGTGTTATATTTGACTTAAAGTAGAACTATAAGCAAAAGGTTTTTTTCCCATTTTGGATAGAGCAAAGAAGGGTGATAACCCCTGTCAGATTTTTTTTTTTGCCATCTATGTCCCATTGTGGAGATTTCCATTCACTTCCTGTCCCATAGCCAAACAGGAAGTGAGAGAAAATCCTTGCAAATTAAGGAAATTCTCTGGGGACTCCCAGGTCACCAGAACTAGTGTCCCCATTGGAAGATTTTCCGTTTTATTACTCTTCTGGGGACAACACAAAATTAGGGGTTTTCTTTTACTTTAAATGCTAAAGGTAAACAGGATAAATAGGTTGAATCTCCTTACTGGGGTCACATACAACAATAAAAACTGACAGGGGTTCTAATTCCGATCCACTCCATCCAAAACTAAAAAAAAAAATTTGCCTTAAGTTATACTTTAAGAGTGTGTTAAATGCTTTGTTAAAATATGCAAAATATGCAAATAAAGCACATCAGGGATGCTTTGTTTTCTTGTGCATTTATGTCAAGGAGTGTTCCCTCAACATACCTTATAAATACCTGTCAGTTGAGTTACTAGAGTTGCACCCCTGCTGTGCCCATTATGAGGGGTTTTCGCCATTGCTGAGTTCCCAGGTCTGTACACCTGCTGTGCCCATTATGAGAGGTTCCCACCATCCCTGTGCTGAGTTCCCAGGTCTGTACACCTGCTGTGCCCATTATAGGGGTTCCCACCGTCCCTTCACTGAGTTCCCAGGTCTGTACACCTGCTGTGCCCCTGTGTCACTGAGTTCCCAGGTCTGTACACCTGCTGTGCCCATTTATGAGAGGTTCCCACTGTCCCTTCACTGAGTTCCCAGGTCTGTACACCTGCTGTGCCCATTATGAGAGGTTCCCACTGTCCCTTCACTGAGTTCCCAGGTCTGTACACCTGCTGTGCCCATTATGAGAGGTTCCCACTGTCCCTTCACTGAGTTCCCAGGTCTGTACACCTGCTGTGCCCATTTTGAGAGGTTCCCACTGTCCCTTCACTGAGTTCCCAGGTCTGTACACCTGCTGTGCCCATTTTGAGGGTTCCCACTGTCCCTTCACTGAGTTCTCAGGTCTGTACACCTGCTGTGCCCATTTTGAGAGGTTCCCACTGTCCCTTCACTGCGTTCCCAGGTCTGTACACCTGCTGTGCCCATTTTGAGGGGTTCCCACTGTCCCTTCACTGAGTTCTCAGGTCTGTACACCTGCTGTGCCCATTATGAGGCATTTCCACAAACTCTGTACTGAGTACTTTGGCTTGCACACCTGCTGTGCCCATTATGAAGGGTTCTCACCATCCCTGTACTGAGTTCCTGGGTCTGTACACCTGCTGTGCCTGTTATGAGGGGTTCCCACCATCCCTGTGCTGATTATTTTGGCTTGTATACCTGCTGTGCCCATTATGAGGGGTTCCCACCACCTGTGGGCTGTGTTCCCAGGTCTGCACATTTGCTGTGCCCATTATGAGGGGTTCCCACCACCTGTGGGCTATGTTCCCAGGTCTGTACATTTGCTATGCCCAATATGAGGGGTTTCCACCACCTGTGGGCTGTGTTCCCAGGTCTGTACACCTGCTGTGCCCAATATGATGGGTTCCCACCACCTGTGGACTGTGTTACCAGGTCTGTACATCTGCTATGCCCAATATGATGGGTTCCCACCACCTGTGGACTGAGTTCCCAGATCTGTACCCTTGCTGTGCCCAATATGAGGGGTTCCCTCCAACTGTGGGCTGTATTCCCAGGTCTGTACACCTGCTGTGCCCAATATGAGGGGTTTCCTCTACCTGTGGGCTGTATTCCCTGGTCTGTACACCTGCTGTGCCCATTATGAGGGGTCCCCACCGCCTGTGGACTGTATTCCCTGGTCTGTACACCTGCTGTGCCCAATAATGATGGGTTCCCACCACCTGTGGACTGTGTTCCCTGGTCTGTACACCTGCTGTGCCCAATATGATGGGTTTCCCACCACCTGTGGACTGTGTTCCCAGGTCTGTACACCTGCTGTGCCCAATATGAAGGGTTCCCATCACCTGTGGACTGTATTCCCAGGCCTGTACATCTGTGCCCAATATGAGGGGTTTACACCTGTGGACTGTGTTCCCTGTACATATGCCCAATATGAGGGGTTCCCACCACCTGTGGACTGTGTGTTACACCCCTGGCCCAATGTGATGGGTTCCCACCACCTGTGCTGTACATCTGCTATGCCCAATATGATGGGTTCCCACCACCTGTGGACTGAGTTCCCAGATCTGTACCCTTGCTGTGCCCAATATGAGGGGTTCCCTCCCTGTGGGCTGTATTCCCAGGTCTGTACACCTGCTGTGCCCAATATGAAGATGGGTTCCCACCACCTGTGGACTGTGTTCCCTGGTCTGTACACCTGCTGTGCCCAATATGATGGGTTCCCACCACCTGTGGACTGTGTTCCCTGGTCTGTACACCTGCTGTGCCCAATATGATGGGGTTCCCACCACCTGTGGACTGTGTTCCCAGGTCCACCTGCTGTGCCCAATATGAAGGGTTCCCATCACCTGTGGGCTGTATTCCCAGGTCTGTACACCTGCTGTGCCCAATACGAGGGGTTCCCTTCACCTGTGGGCTGTATTCCCAGGCCTGTACATCTGCTGCTGTCCCAATATGAGGGGTTTCCACCACCTGTGGACTGTGTTCTCAGGTCTGTACATCTGCTGTGCCCAATATGAGGGGTTCCCACCACCTGTGGACTGTGTTCTCAGATCTGCACACCTGCTGTGCCCGTTATGAGGGGTTCCCACCACCTGTGGGCTGTGTTCCCAGGTCTGTACAACTGCCAACTCACCGAAAACTTTAATTTCTGTGTATAGCTGATACATTATCTCAAGTTATAAACAAAGTAATTACAGAAAGCTTGTGAGAGCTCCCTCTAGTGGCTAATCATCTTTTTTAAAAATGTGGAAGTTGTTACAAAATTGACAGTTGGGGCTCATTCACCCCAGCGTGTTGCGGTCACACACCATGGCAAGCACTTATAGCACCCAACACACCTGCAAAAAAAAATGTTGCAGCATAGACAATTTTCCTGTAGCCCATTATATTCTGAATGGTCTGCCTAACGCTCAGTGCCGCTGTCTGAACCAGGCCATCAATAAAGTGTGCGCATTGTACTTTCCTGTTAAATTCAGATAAAGTTGCTGACATTCTGTTGTTTTGCAGTCTTGTCACAGTCTCGCCTGCGAGTCGGATTGTGCCGGTGTTGGTGGATTGTGTTTTTTTTTTATATGGCGGCGGTTCTATATTACTTGCACGCCCCTCCTGCAATGAGCAGAGGAAACGATACCCTACGGCCTCCACCTTGTGTGGAGTAGCGGGGTAATGAATTGCTTTGTGCCGGCATTAATTGAAGTAAATTAAGCAAGCATTTACCTTGTTTATTGCCGAGGCAGAGGATTAAAAACCTCCAGCAGACCGGTCTCCCAGGGCTTGCCAGGAAATGTCTGAGCTGCATCTAATTGCTCCCGAGCTGCGTAATAACCACTTTCCCTCACCTTGTTGCTGCAATTACTGTCTCTGCTATTCTGCTAATTTTTCCCTAAAGTTTATAGCTAATTACCCGGTAATTCAAATTAGCCTGCTCGCTGCGGGAAGGCGTTTCCACACATTCCTGTACACAGGCGGCTGCCTCTTACATTCATCCACACCATGATTCAGAGCAAGGTATGGGAGCCAAATCACTTCAGTGGCCTAGAAAGCAATCGGACAATTTGCTTTAAAGCTGAACTCCAGATTATTGCAGTTTGGTGGTCATTAATAAACCATTTTAAATTAATTTTTTATGCTGCAGAACTCAGATTGTGTCAGGGCTCCGGGTATGACCAGAAGTGTGTGGACTGACACAGGGAAACGCAGGCAGATATGGTATAAATAAGACAATTTATTAAGACTAACAATACAAATATAAACGCAGTGCACCAAACCCCAAGCTAACACAAATACATACAACAAGGTGAAACAAACCCAAACCTAAACTGATATAGATACACAGGTACATACACATATAGAGCACAACGTAGTCAGGCAGGCCAGGTCGATAACTATCGGGCAGGTAGGTACAGGAGGAGCAGGCGGAGAGAATGGTCAGGGTCACAAGCCAGGGATAAAACAGGAGAAGTCAGCAGAGGTCAGGATCAGGCAGGGTCGGCAACAAGTCAGGCAGAAACAGGAATGCAGGTTACAAGGTACAGGGGCCCATGGAAAAACACACACCAAGGCACAGACTGCAGGTCTGGCTATCCCTTAAATACACCTGCAATCATCCCCAGGTGATGGCTAATTGCCGAAGTGAACCTCTGGTTGTTGAGAGCACCCGCTGGCCAGCCCTGGTACTGCAGCCCACAAGGCAGGTGAGTCCCACTACTATTGGCAAGTCCATTCCTGACAGATTGGGAGATAAAAAGGCCAGTTGGGTATGCTACATGCAGATTTGCTGACCTGGATCATGCTGATAAGATGAGAGCAGAGTAATCAGGGGATGAACTCAGTCTTCTGCTGCTCTTCCACTGCACAGTCAAGAGTCTGGGGGTGGAATAAATGTATTTCTTATACTGCAGAGCTCATAACGGGAGATGAAAAGGCCAGTTGGGTATGCTACATGCAGATTTGTTGACCTGGATCATGCTGATAACATGAAAGCAGAGTAATCAGGGGATGAACTCAGTCTTCTGCTGCTCTTCCACTGCACAGTCATGAGTCTGGGGGTGGAATAAATGTATTTCTTATACTGCAGAGCTCATACCGGGAGATGAAAAGGCCAGTTGGGTATGCTATATGCAGATTTGCTGACCTGGATAATGCTGATAAGATGAGAGCAGAGTAATCAGGGGATGAACTCAGTCTCCTGGTGCTCTTTCACATCAGGAGCCTGGGGGTGGAGGTAGGATGCCACTGTATTCCCTTCACAGTTCAAAACTGTTAAAAAAGAGGAATCCTTAAAAAAAATTCAGGTCTTGAGGAACTCCTGCTAAAATCAATTAATGATGGTCATTGGAAAAATGCCCCTGAGGGCACAAAAGGCATGATGGGATGGATGTCATTATGGTCAGTAGGTGCCTGGAAGCACCCAGAACTACAAGTTATGGTTTGATTTGTGTAAATCCAAAGAGTTACTTTTTAGGAGGTTAATCTATAAGAATGTCAAGGTAAAAGATGACCCAGCTGTAGTCCTCTGAAAGTGATGAGTTGACCACTCAACAGATCATTCGTTTTTACGAATAATATTAGGAGCTGCTGAGACAAATGGTTAAAGATCTTGAAATTGAGTTGAAGAACCTCAATAAATAAAATACAGCCAACATGCTTCGGGGAAGGGGCATCTTTTTTCTTCAGGGCTTAACCTTAAGAATTGTGATTAAATTTAGGCAAAATTCATTAGGAAAAGCATGTCCACATGGCTGGATTTAACCACAGATCATGCTGTTAATCCCTGAATAAGGGAATGGCCCTTTCTGGCAATGTGTTGGTTGTATTTTTACTGAGTAAACTGTTATTGCACCTCCTGGCAGGTGACAAGGCATCAAGGGAGACAGAGTCTTAACAACAGATGAGCTTCACCCGATGACCTCTGTTTTCACTGCAAGCCATCACCAGGTTATGACCCTCAGGATTGCTCCATCAAGGGAGATAACTGGAACAGAATGTCTACAGTGTGGAGACTGTACATGAAACACGAGAAGAGTAGTCTGGTCCAGGCAGAGGTTGTGGGAAGGTGGTAGACAAAGAGAGTAGTCAGGTCAATAACAAGCAAGGCAAACAGAAAGTATAATAGCTCTTATGCAGAGGTTAGCTGGTGATAGGACCAGCCACTTCAAAGCCTGGAGTTTAAATACCCCTTTGTTCAAGGGACTCCCCAGTGTCCTTTCAGGGAATCCTGGAAGTCCTGGTAGGGATTATGTGAGTACCATTGAAAGTCCTGTTAGGGATTACCGGAGTATCATTGGAAGTCCTTGTAGGGATTCTGTGAGTACCATTGGAAGTCCTGGCAGGGATTCTGAGAGTATCATTGGAAATCCTGGTAGGGATTCTGTGAGTATCATTGGAAGTCTTGTTAGAGATTCTGGGAATACCATTGGAAGTCCTGGTAGGGATTCTGTGAGTATCATTGGAAGTCCTGGTAGGGATTCTGTGAGTATCATTGGAAGTCCTGGTAGGGATTCTGTGAGTACCATTGGAAGTCCTGGTAGGGATTCTGTGAGTACCATTGGATGTCCTGGTAGGGATTCTGTGAGTATCGTTGGAAGTCCTGTCAGGGATTCTGTGAGTATTGTTGGAAGTCCTGTTCAGGGGACATGCCAATGTTCTTCCAGGGAACCCTGGAAGTCCTGGTGGGGATTCTGTGAGTATCATTGGAAGTCCCGGTGGGGATTCTGTGAGTATCATTGGAAGTCCCAGTGGGGATTCTGTGAGTATCATTGGAAGACCCGGT